GGGGCTGGGGAGTACTTCTAGGGATTTGACTTGCGTAGTAGCCGGCAAATTGAGAAGTACTCATATTCCTCAGGATCCAAAACACTTATTTCATATCATCCGTTGCAAGACTCACGGATACTGTGCAACTCCAACCTTTTCCCATCCCAACTCATCGATCACATTTTGCGCGAAGTTTCAAAGGACAAAAGGAGTGTGAGTCCTAGACTTGACGGTAGCCATGTATAACGACATCATGTAAAGCGCAATGAGGGGCCCTTAAACGCTCCCCACCAGCGCAGTTTCAAAGCTAGTGAGCGAATAGTAAACGTTCAGTTTTGATTTTGACTATTTTGAAACACGTTAATTTGGTGATTTCGCCGTTTTAAAACTCGTTGCTCACATCCAGTCTGGTAACCCGTCATGTTGTATTGTAAAGTTACTGAAATTTTTGGCACTATTTATAGGCTGATTATTGATTAAATAGGGATTGTTTCGCGGTTTTTGACTTTGATTTGAATCAACCTAGTCCCTGACCTCTTCAGCTTCTCGTGTCCAGCAGAGATCTCTCCGTCTTTGCCATTGTCATCACCTGTAATACAACAATGATAGAGAAATCGATAAAGGACGCTCTGCAGCGTATCAATCACACTATCAGTATGATTTATCAATGAAATATTTGATGCAATCAACTCCGAGTTAGAAATAATGCAAGATGTAAAAAAACTATATGACGGCGAATACCATGAATGGTGTATGGCGGCAGCCATGTATGACAACACCACGAATAACGCAAAGGAGAGCGCTCAACTAATCTACGCTTGAAACTTGTACCTATCGATTTCGAGAACCTCGGCCTATTCGCATAGAACATTCGAATCAGGACGTTGGTATTCAAAACACCTTTATTTCGCATTGAAACTAGCGTGCGTACATTTTACCGAAAGTCGCTACATCAGCCCGATGCTTGATTAGATTCTTGTGGCCTGTTCTCAATGTCCATAGGCAACATTTTATCTCGTGCACACCACTGAATCTATCATGGCATCACGCTCGCGCCAAGTCCAGGGTACATCACCTTGGCTCTACTACATTTGATCTATATAGATATTCCGTCGTTGAGCATAGCAGCGTCGTTACGCCTTTTCCCACAAAGTATGGAAGATCGATTATCTTCATTTTCAATTATACCTTAGACATGAAGCATAGAGCCAGCACGCCATCAAAGCGATAGGTTGCACACGCACCGCTATTTCATTCCCGTCAGTTTTCTGTATAACAGTGCTACATTCAAATCAAATCTTAAGGGGGGGTCCTCAACTATTAAATAATATATAAGGCGCATCGTATCCCTTTGCTTGAGATCCTCATAAGTAAACAGAGATACCTGTCAATTAGCAGTATGAACTGAGAGCTTGACATGTTTGAGTGAGACGTACTTCCTCGAGTTCTCGATGACATTCGCTTACTGCCTTCTCTCGTCATATAACGAAAGCTATTCATTGTATTCAGCAACACAAGTGACTTCGTAAATAATGTACATGGGCACGCATGTAGATCGATGCGCTAATCGAAGACGTGGAACGTATTGTCTGCTTTATTCGATACAGCAAAAAAGCGGATAACGCTTTGCCATTTAAACGTTCTCCTACCATGTCGCGAAGCCCACACGTGCTACAGATCGCTGACCAAGGCCCAAAGCTTACAATTCTCAAGCGACGGATCAGATTTCTGTGAGTATGAAATAGACTTGCTCACAATGCTGAACTTCATTATAAAAGTTGCACTCTAGTTACTTTACTCGACAACGTGGAAAAACGTCGTTTATGCAACTGCAGTGGTCAGTCAGTATGCATGCTATATTAAATCATGTTAGCAGATTCGCTTAAAATTTGTAAGAGCTGAACAATTAATAGCCACGAAACGTCTGGACAAGTACGACGGCCAAACCAGCATGGCGGTTTCTCCAGAGCTTCACTTGACTGTAACTTCTTGCAATAACTTGGAATGCACAGTGAAATCAAACTGAAAAAACTAGTTGAAATATTTGATCGTGACATGCATCTTTGATTGAAAATTCTCATTAAATAGTGCAGAAAACGATTATATCAACAATTTTGTCATTTTAGGACAAAAACTTGACAGCTGACATATTTATTTATTCTCCTAGCTAAGTACCAGGGCGTGGAGCGAAGCTTGCAGTCAACGAAGAATTAATTGACTTCTTTCATCTATCTTTATAAACAAGCGGCACTGATGCCGTGGTTATTTACAGATGCATATACAAAACTAGCATTTTGACAATATTGTGCTGAGAAATGTATTCTTACAATGGAATAATATGACTATCAATATGCTCAATCGTCGTCATTTCACTCCGATACTTAAAGCGTGTGTAACTTTGACGGATAAAGAAATACATGAGATGATTGATGAAGCAGATCACGATGGAGACGGACTGATTAACGAGAAAGAGTTGTTTTGCCTTATGAACAAGCGTAGTGGGAATCCGTTGGACGACCCCCCTTCATCGTCAACAAGTTGAAAGATCTTCATAATTCTAAAGTGGTTCTCGTGAGTTCTAAAAAGACATACTTGATTCGTTTTTACATAAGTTGAGTTTAGCAATGTAGACCCTTTGTGTATGTACCATTTAACCCGTCATCAGTTCAATAAATTGATCGTCTCTAAGCAATATCAATAATGGATTGCCGCCTTCTTAAATTGCAATCTGAGCGCCAGCATAGCAGCTTTAAGATCCCACGTGTCGATGATACTGCTAGAAGCGGTATCAAAGAGACGGCAAACCTCTTTAAGCTCTTCTAGACCGTGCGTAAGTTTAAGCAGACATGGTACTTGACTGCAATGAAAAACAACACTTTCTGTACCAACCGACAAAGAGCATGGAGAATTTACCATCTATTGTGCTTTGTTATCGTCGACAATTCAGGGACAATTTCCTTGCACAAATAGTAAAGAAAATTTCAACGTTACTTTTCCCAATTCATAAAAATCCAACCGTGAGATATTATTTTACTCTGACTACGAACACATCCTAGATATCTTGCACACTATCTTTTCTCTGGCTCTCTTTAAAGACAGCTTTGTCTTCTGATGGCGTCAGGCAGATCACAATGAAAACGTTTAAGTCTTTTCTCATTGTAGCATTGGCCACAACTTTTGTGGCAGCGAAGTTTTGCAGTGTACATTTCAAAATAGGCATCGAGTGCAAAGTCTCACTTTTCCGTGATAGTTACAGGGACTGCATGCGCCTCGATTGGCAATACGGGTATACTGACTGCCTCTTTTCAGAAAACAAAGAGTTTCTTGACGCGTTTACATACTCGAAACTGCTCACTTATTATTACTCGTACCAAAGTGATAAGCTGCATCAGCTTTATATTACAGGATGCTTATCCCAGGTAGGTTTCCAGCACGAGCTCTAAGGATCTTAAAGCTGAGCAAAAAAAGTCGCAGATTGACATGGTCTTCGTCTGAGGTCATCATTTCTATACCCCCCTTCTCCATTGCCTCCAACTAAGCTGAGCATGAAGCTTTCAAGCTTTCTGTCACTTTCCCGTTCGTTGCTATTACCGTCACGTCATCTTGTGCTACTGCCTCTGTGGTCGACAATCATCACGAAAACGCTATCGGTTTTCATCACAATGCTCTACCGTGTACTGACGTACTATGCGATGATGACTACGCTCCTGTGTGCGGGTTTGACAACAAAACTTACCCCAACGCGTGCATCTTCCAGGCGACTAACTGCCGCACTAATGTCACGATGGCTTATTTAGGGCCTTGTCGTAATAAATTTGTGGATTACGAGTGGATACTCTCGTCAGCATCGGCTACTTCATTGAGCGAAAAAATGCCTTTGATTCGCGACCGTTCTCATTCAGCTAACGAAGAACGGGGTTCATCTATTTATCTAGCTGAAGCAATACCGCTAACAGCCAAAAGTGCCTTTGATTCTGCCAAAGTGCGAAGAGTGGAGAAATATCTTACTTCTTCTGGTGATATTGATGGCCTTTTAAAAAAAATGTACATCCCTACGTCTACCTCAAGTTGTTGTATGACTATTTCACCCCCTGGAATTGGAAGCTTCATGGAGCTGTCAAGTTCTTGGTGAACAGAACGAAGACCCTATTACGAATCACTGCGGATGAACCAGCGGAAGGGCCGACAGTGTTGACGAAAGACGATCGAAAAGCTCAAAGACTCTATGCGCTGCTTCCACCTTATTATCAAGAAGCTTATCAATTATATTGCATGTAGACCGAATGATCAGTTCAACGCGAAAACAACGCAAACAGTTCGTGTCAAAGACGAAATTTTGAGGTCGTAGCACCATGTACTCAGATAGCGTGTATGCTCCACTATAAATACTAAATCAATTGTTTTTTATACCTCATTCTTCTGTTGAAAATGTAGGCCAACGAACCACACGTAGACGTCAAAGCAGAATTGCCGTTGACTAAATTTTACAAGCCTCATTTTAAATCGACATCTTTAAATTAGGTTCCATTTACATGGTCATTATACTGAGCTCTCCTTAGAGTCTTTAATAATCTTCTTG